ATCGACAGAGTCAAGCACCATTATGTGACCGAGTGCTTTCATCTGCTCGCCGTCCTGCTTCATCCACTCGAACGGTGTAAGGTCCGTCTTCATGGCCGAATGAAAAGGCAGGTCCTTGGGATCGGTGATGTCCTGGTACTTGTGCTCTTTCAAATAGCCAGGCAGTGCTTGCATAACCGGCAAATGGAGTTTCGACAGATGCGGCGCGGCGCCGTTGACGTGCGGGTTGGCGAAGACGCGCGTCGCACGGTTTGCTGCAAACGTATCCTTTTCGACTTCTGCAATGAGTCCGAACGATGCCATGGACCGAAGCAAGTGCGCGAGTAGATTGGGCGCAGCGCCAGTCTTTTGCTGAAACTCATCGTGTGTTATTGGTGTTGTCGATGAGGCGAGAGTGGTAAAGATGTTGAGATCGATACCGACGTCGATAAGAGCCCATTGAAGAGACTGGGGAGGAATTAGTAAACGTATCTCGTACGTAACGGATAGGGAAAACTTACTGCCATAGCTAGGCTGAACATCATCTCCCAGTCGCTGTAGAGATCCTTCTGTAGGTCCCGGATCTGTTCCTGGATCTGTTGTCTTTCTCGGGCATTGCCCTTGGCGTATGCCTCGCGGATCTGGTCTGCTGCTGATTCCATAATTGTGGGCTTGAAGCTGTACACTAGGGTTTATGCTGGAAGGGAGAGGCGTTGCAATTGCTGTGTAGATTAACATCCATTATCGGAGGCTTCGATCTTTATACTTCATCTCTGTTCGCGCGACTGTCTCGGTTTCTTCGGTCGTACACCCCGTCCTTCGCTCAAGAATTGTTATATTGACCGATATGTGCGACATTCGGGTTGGTAGTGGTGAAGATGTCCGTAGGCAGCAGCGAGATGACCGAAAAGACCGAAAAGACCAGTACGTCTGTACCTGAGTTCCTACAAAGCACGACTTACCGCTGGAGCCTTCCAGAGGGCCTTCTCTCAGCTTTTAGGTTCTCCTTGAATACATGGTAATCCATCCACAATGGATTGAGGCGAAACAATGATGGTGAGTCCGATTGCCTAAATAGGAAGGTTTTGCTTGGGTGTAGATGACGGCACTTTCGCTCAATGACGCCCAGGTCGCCAATGTTGGCCCAATGTCCCCCAATGACGCCCATGACGCCCATGCCTGCCTCGCCTAGCATTCATGGTATGCACACCACGCTCGTTCAACGCCAGCGACCTGTACTTCGCCAAAGCCAAGCCTCATGACGCAATATTACACTTTCAGTATGAGACATCCTGAAGCGCGCGCAATATTATGCATCTCACCCGAGCATCCAGCGACGGTGGTTGTTGCGGACACGAACGAAACAAACGTAGCCCTCTAGGCTACCTAGGTAGGTCAAATCGACAAGGCCTCAGCTTGTGTGCATATCGTGGGAAAATCTGAGAGGCGGTATTGGGACAAGCTACTCAAGAGATTATAGTTGAGTGTGTCCAATACTCTTCGTCCAGAACGCTGCCGTACTGTTGAAGCCCGCCATGTTGACGTTGCAGTCACGTCTGTGGCGGATTGGCAATGCGCAGCGGACCGGATGTGACGGATATTGGCTATACTCCCGCCCGACTAAGATGCCTTCGCATCCTGATGTCTTCCAAGTCTTCGAGGGTGTCTTGCTGACATGTCAATGCGTCCATGGAGAAGGGTCTTCGGACGCAGGCGCTACGATCGCTGGCAAGCTTAGCGTTCGAGATTCAAGTGGAGCTCATTATTCCGCCGACGCTTGAGAAATACCGCCATTCAGATGGAAGCGCTAGGCTCAACACATGCAGCACCAAGCATTCGGGCGGTCTCGTATACATGGCTTGGGAGGCTTATCTTCACAAATTTTGAGCCGCATGCTGTAGCGTCGCGCAACGAAAACACCATTAAGAATGCTCGCAAAGGTCGCAACGGCTCTGTTCTATGAGTATGTAGCAACCGAGTCAGACAATAAGCCTGAACGATCCCAGAGACGAACAAATGACTGGTGGAAGAACAGATAAATGGGTCTGCGGAGGCCAAAGGTGGAGTCTGGGGTCGGACAGGTTCCTCCACATGATAACGACGCAATACTCGGGGACAGCACTGCCGGTGGTGCCACCCTCGGCGTCTGGTGTTCTGACCTAGGTATTTATTGAAAAGCCTACCTCGCTCTCTTTGTACGCAGACAAGTCAACCCAGAAAGCTGCGACGACATAACCAAGATGCCGTCCAAATTCTTCAAGAACCGCAGGGTCTATCTACTGACCAGTGTTGCCTACATGGGCTCGCTGCTGTTCGGTAGGCGCCCGCTGTCTCCATTCCTGAGCAAGAGCTAACACTATGGAAGGTTATGACACCGGAGTAATGGGCAGCGTGCTCGCGCTCAAAGCTTTCAAACAGGACTTCGGCTTGCCAACAGACTCGTCTGGATTCTCCGACTCGAAAAATGCATCGGTATCGTCGAACGTCGTATCGCTTCTTACTGCAGGTTGCTTTTTCGGTGCCATCGGGGCCGCTTGGATCAACGAACGGTTCGGTCGACGATTGTCTCTTATGGGCTTCTCCCTCGTCTTCCTTATCGGTGCCGCAATCCAGACTGCCGCTCATCATGAGATTGGCGTGATCTACGCAGGTCGCGTCATCGCAGGGCTCGGCATTGGAGGTATGTCATCCATTACCCCGGTATTCGTCTCGGAAAATGCTCCTCCAGCTCTTCGAGGACGTATCGCTGGTCTCTTCCAGGAGTTCCTGGTCATTGGTAGCACTTTTGCGTACTGGCTAGATTACGGTGTTGCGCTCCACATGCCCACATCAACGAAGCAATGGAGAGTGCCCGTATCGATTCAACTCATCCCAGGTGGTTTCATGTTGATTGGACTATTCTTCCTCAAGGAGTCTCCGCGGTGGCTGATGTCAAAGGGTCGACAAGAGGAAGCCGCGCAATCGCTTGCGTTCATTCGCTGCGAGCAACCCGATAGCGCTGAGCTCCAAAAGGAGCTAGCTGAGATTCGCGCTGCAGTCGAGGAGGAGTTGAACCAGACTGAGGGCATAACCTGGAAGGAGGTTCTCCTTCCTGGCAACCGATACCGATTTATCACTGGTTTTGTGCTCATGTTCTGGCAGCAGTTCAGCGGAACAAACTCAATCGGTAAGATGAAGATCTTCAGAGCTAAACTTCGCCATCTGACCTTCTTTCAGGCTACTACGCTCCCCAAATCTTCCAGACCATTGGTGTATCAGCAGCTAACGCTTCGCTGTTCGCAACGGGTATCTATGGCACAGTCAAAGTCATTACGACTGGAATATTCTTGATCGTTGGTATCGACTTCATTGGCCGGAAGTACTCGCTCATGGCTGGCGCGGCATGGATGGCGTCCATGATGTTCATCATCGGCGCTGTTCTTGCTACAAACCCACCAAACCCAGATTCTGGATCAGTCTCGTCCGCCTCCATCGCCATGGTCGCCATGATCTACCTTTATGTCATCGGCTACTCGGCTTCTTGGGGTCCCGTCCCATGGGTTTATCTTGGGGAAATCTTTCCAACCCGACTTCGTTCGTATGGTGTGGGAATGGGAGCAGCAACACAATGGCTCTTCAATTTCGTCATTACGAAGATTACACCCGCTGCAATCAACTCCATCGGGTAAGGCAATGACTCTACAAACTGCATACAAGACATGCACTGACATCGTCCTTTGCAGGTGGAAAACATTCCTCATGTTCGGCATCTTTTGTCTTTCCATGGGCATCTTTGCTACATTTTTCATCAAAGAGACGAAAGGAAAGACACTTGAGGAGATTGACATCCTGTTCGGTGACGTGTCGGCTGATCAGCGTCGCCAGGATGTCGAGGCGGGTATGAAGGAGGAGCAGCGAAAGCACTCGGTGAAGTACATGGAGGATGCTACTGAGCTAGATGACAGGGCAGGCAAGGACTGAGCAGTGCTTGCAGATCAGCAGTGCTTGCAGATCGATACCGAGGATTGCGCCGTTCTGTAGATTGATGAACATGTTCAGCAGACAATGGCGAAACTTGGCGATAAGCTGTAGCCGGACTCAATCTAAGAGTCTTTTTGCCTGGGTTTGACGTGCGCATCAATCGCGTATCTCTGTCAAGACGGGAAGACGATAAGCCATTTGATATGTCGGATGTCGATGCGATGGGTGACGATGAGACCGTTTTGGGATGCGGAACAGGTGGGGGCTTGGTCAATACCCAAAGGGGCTAGCGTCGTTATCACAGGGGCAATTGCAAGAGGCCTCCGACATTTCGACGCGGTCCTTCGTCTTCGCATCACGACCAGCGTGAATCTCATCAGAAAATGGGTGCTGCATCACTTTCGAACATGCTGCCATCATTCCCGCTTCCATATCGACATCCATTTGCATCATGTGTCCCACAAGGCGATTCTGTACGCCCAGTGTGGGGAGACCCCGAAGTCAGCTTTCACGCGTTCAAAGGCTCTTATCGCAGGTTTAGTTCATTCTGATTCGTTTGTTACGACCAACAGGAAGACTCAGTATGCAGCCTCGCAGCCCTCAGCATCGACCGTTTACCATGATGTCGGAACCACTGTATGATTACGGACGCCACAAAAGCCTCACAACCTTCGCGATATGCGCGACGTATTGATCACACGAGATGCACAGCGAAACCAGACCGGGTAAAGCTACATGGCTGCATGCTGACTGCGCGCCCGATATGGCAATATGTCTGGGCCGGCCCGTATCGGAAGGTCAAGACGAGAACGGGGCCACATCATATGAGGCAGTACGAGTCAAGAGATGGAGATACAGTCTTCGCACCACCCCAAGCCTCAGGCTAACACCAGTCTGGATGTATGTGGGGCATATCATGGGAGTTGGAGAAGAGGGGTGTCGCCGATGCTGTTACTAGAAGCTTGTATAAGGCGCCGGCATGATAACCTGCAAGAGATCAAGCTTCGTCCTCGAAGCTTTAGGACATTGTTAATCTTAATTCCGTATTCGCACTTTCCAAAATGGTCTTCGGGTCCTCGCTTCTTTCAAGCCTTCTTGCGGCGCAAGCTGCCTATGCGTACAACTTCCCATACGAGAGCGTGCAGCTGACGGACTCGGATGTGGGGAACAATCCTGATTTGGCTTTTGGTAAAGCGAATCCAAGCAGCATACCTTCTTGCAAGAGCTATCCAGGCTACGACGGTTGGCCATCATCGACGCAATGGAGTGCCTTGAACATCAGTCTTGGAGGCACATTGTTCAAGGGTATTCCACCTGCTGCTGCCTGTTATGAGGGCGAGTACAAGGATACCGCAAAGTGTTCAAATGTCAGGCGACGTCAAAGCGATGCTCTCTTCGCGTACGAACCTGCAAACCTTACCCTCAGTTGAAAGCTAACTTGTCTCATCTAGCAAGGAAGACCCACTGGTACCGTTTGGACAGTGGACTTTACATAACCCATGCCCCGTACCTGCAGCCAGCGCCACGCCTCCGCTGTCTGGCTGCAAACTCGTCAGCTTTCCTGCATTTGTCGTCAATGCTACTACAGTCAAAGACGTGCAGCTCGCAGTCAACTTTGCCAGGAACAACAATGTCCGGTTGACGATCAAGTACGTGCTCAGGAAAGATACCAGTCCCAAACTGACCATTGTAGAAATACCGGCCATGACTTCCTCGGCCGAAACACCGGCGGGGGCGCACTTCAAGTTTGGGTGCATCGCATGAAAGCATTCGATTACTTACCGACTTACAAAGTTGGTCAGTACGATGGTCAAGCAGCCCGAGTTGGAGCGGCGCTCGAACAACACGAAGTCTATAACGCCATGAGTGCACACGATATCACGCTTCTAGCTCCTGGGTCTTCTACTGTTGGAGCTTATGGCGGTTACATGCAAGGCGGAGGATTTTCGTACATCACGTCGAAGTACGGCCTCATGGCTGATCAGGTGCTTGCTCTAGAGGTTGTCGCTGCAGATGGCAGGTTTGTGCATGCAGATCCGACGGAGAATGCGGACCTGTTCTTCGCTATTAGAGGTGGTGGACCCGGTAAGCTTCCGTCGTACTATCACAACTATTTTTGATACTGACCGATAGCAAAGGAAACTTCGGTATAGTTACATCTGCCATCGTAAAAGCTTATCCGCCTACGACGGTCGCACGAAGTGACTTTACATTCCAGACCGGCCCAGTGTCCAGTAACGACAAGACCACCGTTCGCGTATCCAATGAAACCTTTTGGAAAGGTATGAAGGTCTATTTCTCGCACAACCTACGCATCAATGATGCCAAAGGCATCATGTCAAATTACATCACCAAGGCCTCTAGTACCTTTACCCTCTCAAATCAAATCACCAAGCCGGGCATCACCGTCGAAGAGATGAGAAAGCTCATGGCGCCGCTCATCAAAGATCTCAACGATATTGGCATTCCACTAGTCAACCCCGAGCCAAAGTTTTGGAGCACATATGCAAAGTTCGGTACCCAGCCCGGCGGCCCAAGCGGTGGTACTAGTAACAGCCGTCTTGTGAGCCGGCTTGTTCCCCGATCCAATCTCGCAGACCCAACCTCCCAGACATTCAATACCACCATGGCAGCAATACGCTCATTCGTGGAAGACGGGGGTTACAGCTTCCACTCCGTCGACTACGCACCAACATACGAAACAGCCGGCTATCCTGGCTCCGACTCTGCGGTCTCGCCGCACCTGCGCAACGCAGTCATGCACATGACCGGCTTCGATAGTCGGCAGTACGATGCTAGCCTCTCCGATGAGCTCTGGAAGTCGTCGCATGCACGCCTCAATTCCTACGTGCAGAAGCTGAGAGATGCGACGCCGCTTAGTGGTGCGTACATGAATGAGGCGGATGTTGCGGAGCCGAACTTTCAGTATAGTATGTATGGTGATAACTACGATAGGCTGCTGAAGATCAAGAAGGAAAGAGATCCTTGGGGGTTGTTCTATGCGGTTACGGGTGTGGGTAGCGAGAGTTGGTTCGTTGAAGGGACGGGAGGACTCCCTACTCAGCAGGGACGACTATGTAGGGTTGATGCATAGGGTACATGGGGTTGATAGCTTGCCGGATGTTGCAAATGGCTGTGATTCACGTAGGCACGATGCGAAATCGAGGAAAGCTGGAACGCACCACACGACTATAGCAATACGCACAAGCAGGTCGTTGCAACATACAATGTCTTATTAGGTATACATGCTTTGAGACACTTGACTATCTACAATGACGTGCATGCTCATATCAGTCTTGCCCAATTACCACAGGCCATGTAACAGGAAGTCTTTGAGACCTAGACATCATGACTTTGGAGAACTGACTTGGCAGACGAGAACCATGGCGATCAGGGATACCATCTGCCTTTCTCCAGTTGATCCACCAACTTCTCGATGAGGTCCCTCTCCTTCTTGTATAATCGCATCGACCTCTTCCAAGTTGCGCCACCTCGCTTGTGTCGATGGATGTTGCCAAGCCAGTGCTCCACATCAACTGAATCGTAGCTTTGTAGAGCCATTCGTACCGCTATGATGAACATATGTGCAAAGTCGAGCATTGTGACACCGGACGAATTGAGAAAGCTTTGAGCCATGTCCGGGCCTCCAGGTAACCAGATAGCAACAGTGAGCTTGGTGACGGCAGGTGAGCAGATTTGGACAGTGTTCCAGGTTTGTTTCGACTGGTCGGCGCTCCTAGTATGGACGACAGTCTCGAGGAATGTTCGAATATGTGTGAAGTAGTCGCAGGCCTCAGGGTAGTTGTCGCCAAGAGCGAAGATGAGGTGTTTTCCGTAGCCGGTGAAGACAACTGAGCCTTTTCCTTTCCACGATCGGCGAAGTAGCGGATTCGCACGTGACATGTCAAGTAGAGACTCGTAGGGACGCGAGTCGTAATCGCTGCCATCGTACATGCGCTCTTCACGGCCCATGTTAGTCGTCAAGCGCATCAACTCTTCGTCGTTGTCCAGCCTCTCGAAGTAATCTTGGATAGCCTGTTTGTATTGACCGCGACGAGACATTGGGTTGTCTGCGAAGAAGGCGCGAAGAGTAGCCGGTGTCACCACTGTCATGTGGCTGATACTCCTAGTATGTCGCGATCGACTCCAGTCTGCAACTAGAGGTTTGCCCAAGTCGGGAAGGCCCGCCCCCAGGAACAGTCGGTGGTCTGTCTTCTCTTCGCTCATGTTGTCGGCAACCAAGAAGCACTTCTTCTTAACTGCAGTTGATCCCTGCACACAATCTCTCCAGAACTTGGAGACCGCTTGAGCGCTCTTGAGGATGTCTCCCGGGCTTAGGTTGCAGAGCACATTCTCGAGGAGTTCGGTGACGCCCAAGACGCGGGCGGGATCGCCGTGTACGAGTGGAGGAGAGTTTTTGTCGTCCATATCGATCGTTGTGAGCCTACCGATGGTCGAAGGCGATCGACGCGTAAGGGTCGTATTTTGAGAGGCAAGTCATTTGGCCGTGCGACGCAATCGTTTATGTGGGTTCCCAAGCCTGAGCACGAGCCAGCAAAGTGAAAGACAACTCGCGAGACGAACCAGGCGTACAGTGAGACAGCTCGTACTAATCCAGACTTGGCTCAGGCTTGGCTCAAGTAAAAGTAACCGACAGGGTCCAGTAGTCTCGTGAGCTCGTTAGCCGCGGCGAGATCTTGTTGGGGGACGAAGAGCGCGTCAGAACGGCCAGCAAATTCGAGCCGCTCGAAGAAGTACCTGGCGAGAAGTATCAGAAGATCGTCAACCAGTACACCGGTAGCGCGACGGAAGCTTTTGAAGCGATGGACAAAGTGTACCCGGGTAGAGCGGTTGGAGATCTCCCAGTGCATAACCAAGCTGACAGTGGTGAAAGCGGGATTCGAGAGCTGAGATTTGATCCAACTAGCGGTAGGGCTTCTCTGTACCTGGAATAATATCTCCTCGATCACTCGCGAGATTTTGGTAGAGGAGAGACCCAATTTCGAAATGGGCAAGGGGTCCTCCATGAAGACTACTGCATGGGAGCCAAAGCCAGTCCAAAAGAAACCATTTGAAATCCAAAGATTGCGGGCGATGAATGGGTGTATGGCTGATGGACGGACTTGGGTGATAAGCGCTTCCCAGTCCCAACTTCGACTTCCGGGTTTTAATCTTGGGAGCCGATCTTTGCCTGATGGAATAAAAGCTCTGCTCACCGCAGCTTGATCTATGTAGTAGGAGTCCGCAGGAACAAAACATCTGATGGCTGCGAGATTCAGAAAGATAAAAGGTCGGTATTTGTATCCAGGAATGAGGACTCCGCGCCCCTCATGAGATCCATACGCGGGAAAGATTTTGCTTAAGGGGAAGTAGAGCTTGCTATCGGCTTCATCTTCCTCGACTCGGTTGGCGTCAAGCAAGAAGATCTGTCTGAGAACGGACGATCTGTTGATGCAGTTATAGAAGGTACTGGACACCATCTGTTTGTTCGACAAAGCATCCGTCGGGCTGAGGTGTTGCAAAATATTCTCGAGGAGTTCCGCGATGCCTAGGGCTTGTTGAGTAGCGGTAAGCGTTGACGCCATCTTGATGGTGGTAATGTGTAGGTGATGAGGTATGCTTTCGACTTCTGTGAATTTTCGGACGAAGTGTCGAAAGCAGGTCGGCACAGGGATGAGAAACTGGAGGCCAGGAAGGAAATTTCAGCACGTCGTGACTGTGTCATCAGCGTACGGTGCGGATGGCTTCCTCTCGCTACCAGGGAATGTCAACAGGCCTTTCAAACTCGCACAGCTCGCAAAGACGAGCATGCCGCGCGAAACATCGGTAGCGCAGCAATTCGCCATGCGTTGAAAGCGGTACCGATATATTTCACATTCCGAGGCTGGGCAGGAACGCGCTACGCGAACGCGTAATGGTCGCGATCATCGCTCAAATCAACGCAACATCGTACATGCGCGTTGTGGCCGCGATGAAGACAATGTGATAACGTTGCCATGTTATGGAAGAGGAGATGCGTAAGGTGTAGTACGTTCGATCGAATTAAAGTGACGCGATGCACGCGTCTCAGGCATTAGCGCCGGAGTTTTGCCGATCTCGGAACGAAGCCACCAGCTGCGTACCATCCCCTCCCACCTTCAACCCCCAGCAATGAGTCTACGCCTGCTTCCATCCACGATAGTCTCTCTGCTCTACCACCATCGATTACATCCATGATAGGCCATCACGATGTATCGCAGTCTTACAACACCAGCATTACCACCGTCATTACACTGGCCGCCCATCCCACCATCCTAGCACTGATATCAGCCCCAGCATTATCCCACGGCGTCTGTTCCTCCGGTACGCGGCTCCCCTCTACTGTGTTGTTCGCGTTCATACACACGAACTCGACGCTGGTCTGCACCAGATTCGAATCTGGGTCAACAAATCGTCCCAGTAGGACGACTGGAATCGTCTGGCGCGTTAAGAGATCATACGTCTCATTCGCAGCGGCATAGAAGTTATCGGACGGGCTGACGCCTGCGTTTGTTCCGAACGTGTTGTAATTGTCTGGAATTTGCACCTCCTCGGGCATGTTGTTGTAGGCGCACGTGCTGTTGGTCACGTCTTGACGGACCGTGTCTGTGCGACCTTGTCAGCTATATGTACAAAGGCTGCAGCTCCCGAGCCGCAAGTCAATCGTGTCTGTTCTGTGCGGGAGAAGAAACAAGAAAGAGAATAAGGGAGGTTTGTACAGATGCAAGGGAAGGAACGTACTGTGTGAACCGCCACTCAACATTGGACACGCCTTCTTGAACTCATCTGATACGGACGAAGTATCTTTACTAGGACAGTAACTCGAGGTATCACTAAGTGCCTTGTTCAGGTGGTCCATGCAGTCGGAGCTGATCACACCGCTACAGCTATTCTCCCCTCCGGCTTCTAACGTCGCATTGATGTTGCTCCACTGATACTTGCAGAGCTCGGTATTGTTGGGCACGTTTCCAGGTACGGAGATGTAAACATGTCCTCTGAGATCGTCATAGCGAGATCCGACGAGGACAGAGACATACCACGGGTCATCGCCGGCGTAGGAGGAGTTCCAAGTAAATTCGTGCTGGCCGGTTGAGTTCACGGCCGTGAATTCGTCGAAAAAGCCTCGACAGGAGGAGTTTTGCGCATTGACGACCGCTGTGGTGAGGAGTCCTGATATCGTAAGGAGCAGCAACTTTGGATTGTCATATGTCCACATATTGACGTAGCATAAGGGTAAAGCCGTGGACGTTCGACTGTTTAGACTTGCGAGAATACATCTATATATACGTGGCGCGGTTAGGCACCCTATGGGAATGACGCACTAGCCGAGAGTGTGGTTAAAACGACGCGATCGACAGAGCTCGGCATGCCTTACCCGTCTAAACGAACATTGTGTGGCAGTAAATCCATGTCGCAATGAAGTTAACAATTTGCAATCAATTGCGCTACGCCGGCGGAGAGCAGTGCCCGTAAGCGCTGGGGCCGACTCAATTCTGCGCTAACGGATACTCCGACGGCGCAATAGTACTACAACATGAAGGTTTCCCCGCAACAATGCTATACATAAGGAACTACGATACATTCTTGTCTTATACTAGAAGGAGAACAACAATGACAGCAAGAAAAAGAAAGATATTCCATCCATCAAAACCCAGCAATCAACCTGCTCCTTGCCATGCCGCCTACATCGCTCTTGCGCTTCGGCTTCTGCGGCAGGTCATCAACGATGAAGTCGCCAAGTCCATCTTCATCGTCGTCATCGTCGTGCGCATCCTTCATGTCGTTGGCAACACTCATCTTGACAAACTTCCTATCGCCTGATGATGCCTTGCTGGCGCCGGTCTTTCTTGAGCGCGAAGACACCGCCGGTGCATGCTTGAACTTGGCCTTCTTGGGGGCAGAAGAGCAACCAGAATCGCGGTTGCCGCTTCTCTTTCGCTTCCGGTGCTCTTGCTCTTTGGCTTTAGCAGCCTTATTCTCAGCCTGCTTCTTCTCGCATACCAGCTTCTCGGCCTTGACGCGCGCATCTCGTTTTGCATTCTTATGCATCTCACGGACCGATTGTTGCTGCTTCGCCTCTGCTTCAGCTCGTTGGCGCTTCATCTCGTGGTTGTAGAGCCTCACTTCGCCCTGCGCAAAGTCGGCGGCTTTGAAGCGGCAACCGAGTACCTCCATTAGTTTGGCGTAGGCCTCGTCGTCGATGATCAAGATGTTTACGAGGTATGTTTTATCCCCGTTGTCGATCTCAAGCCCTCGAATGTGCGCTTCCTCGAGAAGCTCTTGTTGCTTCATTAGCTCGTATGAGTATTTTGCTAGGCGCTTTGGCTCCCTCCATGGGTTGTGCGCTACAGCCGTGTACCGGTCGATGGCTTGACGCTGTTGCGGGCGACGAGGAACCGCGCGTTGTCGAAGTGATGGCGCCGAAGTTGATGTAGTCCCCGCGACGGTACGCTTTCGCGCAGTCTCTGACTTGAGCTGGGTTGTACTCTTCTTGGTGGAGGGTTCTCCGCCGTTGATCTCTGCGATGAGCGATGTAAACATCTTGCTATTGTGAAAGGTTAGCTGAGAAGGAGGAGCGTGTGTTGTGACGGCGACTGGGTCGTTGAAAGTAATCCAAGAGGTTCAGAAGCGGTCAGTTGAAAAGGGGAGGCAAGTGGGCAGCGAAGAATGAAGGGCCTGCATTCATTAGAGAGAGCTATCACTCAGGTTAGTGGGTGCAGGTGATGTGAGACCAAGTCTCTGGAAGTGAAAGTGAATGTACCACGTTCGGAGAGTGCGGCAGAGCACGGGAGAAGGGAAAGTGAGGAGATTAATTTCACAGCGTGGGCAATATTATGGTCATCAACGGCACTGTAAGAGGTCAGGTAGTAACATTGGTTGAGTGAAGACGACTTCGTCGGCGAAATTGTGGAACGACTACACCAACACCAATGAGCTTTTTGTGATGACCCCTGACCTTTCACCACCTCAGCATACCACCTGACCTCCTTCCTGCGAAGCGGCGACGGCAATATCCATAGCTTCACCTTCATCTTCCTCCTCATACGCCCTACACTGCGCGATACATGCCCTCCTGTCTTCCTCCTCCTCCACCCTCCTCTGCTCCTTCCCCTCCTTCCAGGCCTTCCTCTCCTCAGCCATGACGCACACCAATCTGATCCTCAGTCCCCATTCACTCAAGCTCTTTTCCTCTCCCTCGTCGAGGTGTTCTCGTTTGAGGAGTTCATGCTGCATTTGCAGCTTCGTCATTTCGTTCCAGCGCGATAGGCGCGACAGTGTGGCGCCTTGGTGGTAGTATAGTGTGTCTGCTAGATGGTGCAGACTCACGCCGCGGCGCCGTTGTTGCATCAAGATGCGATGTTGAGCGGGGTGAAGCGTCGCGAAGACGGCTTGGAGAGTGCGGAAGGGGAGGAACTTGAAAGCGAGTTTGATGAGCTTTTCGGGTGCGAGTCCGTGGACGGTTGATAGGCGTTGGCAAGACATGTTGTGGTTTTGGGTTGTGCTTGCTTGTGTTGTGAATGTGGTTGCGTGTTGCAAGAAGAGTTTGGAATAGTATGTGTTTGGGTTTTGGGACATGTGTGGATGGAGTCGAATGGAAGGAAAGGGAGAGCAGGCGATGTGAGTTTATATACTATCTGAAGACCATTGTAGAAGAGAAACGGTATCGCGCGCGTTCCGTGTTTGCGCATCCAAAACATGAGCAGATAGACTCACCTTGACTATGTGACCTTACACCTCTACCAGTGGTAAGTCTCCTTATTCCTCTTAGACAGCCAGTCGCAAGACCAAAGAATAATCCAACATATCCAAGTGGCACTTTAAGCGAGCAAAACATATCAGTGCCAGACACGCAGTGACTCACAATGCGTAGCATTGAGTCAAGGCGAGGATGGTTATCTGGTTCAGGCTCCTGCTACCGGACGATGACTACAGTCTGGCAGTACACTAGTCTATTTTGCTAAGGTTGACATATGGTTCACCATGCGAGACCATGGTTGCCAAAGGGATGTAGTCTTCGTGTATCGCACTCAGTCTTTCGGAAAGGTAGCCTATGAAACTGCTGCCAATATTCATGTTCAGCGCAAATGTGCTCTCGGTCATTACCTCCGTACGCGCACAGATGACGCGCTCGAGCTAAGCGAACTGAGATTGCGATCACGAGGTCTACCCAGGAACCTCTTTCCTCGCTCTTTCTATTATCTGCAGTCTGGTTGAGGGACGCAATCATCGATAGAGGATCATTTTGTTGCGACGTTGTTAAATTACTAAGATATAAGCTTTCTGTCTAACATACTATAACCATGGTACCGTGGTGACCCGACGCACACGAGCGACTCACACGTTCCGAAGTCCGCATATACCCAACATGAGAACTGACATATTATAAGAAAGAGAAGCTAACACCGGATACATATGTATTCCTATCTGCGACTTGTAAAGCGCAACTATTCTTCTCCACCATTCTGTCCCACTTAAGTACGCTCTTGCACCCCTTCTAAGAGCTCTCCTCCTAGTCCTCCTCATCATAGAACGCATACTCTACCGACTCGGTAATCAACTCGCGCGCCGCAGAAAGAACCTGCGTAACAGCCTGAACAACCGTGCTCGTAGTCGTCGGCGCAGACGCAGACGCAGTAGCAGCCACAGTAATCGTTGGCGTAGCCTCCGGCGTCATACTCGGCTCGTGAGACTTGGGTGGCCAGACAAACGAGTTTGGGATAATGGGCAGAGAAGCGAAACCAAGCTGCTTCATCTCGGGCTCGCAGTCTTCGCCTTGACAGCGCACTAGGCCAAATTCGGTGCGCAGCTCTTCTTCGGTGGGTAGGCGAGACGAGTTTCCTTCGTCGACGTAGAGGTCTTCGGGGCCGAAGTCGAGGTCTCGTTTCAGCTTGACGGCTGCGGGCCCCGGAGGGTAGCCCAGACCAGCATAGTCTGGGTTTCCGTAGTTTGCCGTGTGTCTCTTGCGGGGGCGGTTGGCGGCACGGTTGTACCAAGGATCGTTAGTCATGAGAGCGAAGCCTGGGTCGTCGACGAGGTCCTTGGGCCAGCACGGGTTGGCCGTGATACCTGCATCGACAATGTTTCCCGGCATGTTTGAGAACTCCAGGCTGAAGACCTGGAGCTGTGGGTGCTTCGTGTGGTCCCAAGACTCGATGACTTGGCCGTTGTTACACACGACTCTTTGACGCAGGCGCTTTACCGTCCTAGTTTCTACCTTGTCGTCGCAGACGCCCATGAACATCTTCCCGGCCTGGTTGTTGTGAGAAGCGGGCTGGAGACGAATCCACACATTCCTATCACGACCTTGCCAAATCACGGCGGGTGGAAATTCGTCTCGCTCGCAGACCACGCCACCTTGCATGTGACCGTTGATCCACTCGGTCTTGTGATCGGTGGAATAGGCGTTTCGTACCTCGCGAATGTTGATGCCGTCTTTACCATCACACGTCAACCTTTTGAGAGCAGGTCGACGGCTTATGACAGAGCTGTAGTGTAGACAAGCCTGACCCATATGAATATCCCCGTTGTCTTTGCTGTAGACACAAGTCTTGACATTGACATCAATATCGGGAGTTCCTGGTACGGGTTCGATCTTGATTCGGGGTCTCATCGGGCGGGCACGTTCCGCGAGCTTGGGAGCGAGCTTGGGGTCGACCTTGGAGCACCTTGCCGCAGGTTTCGTGAAGGTGGCGGGTGGATCGCGGTCCTTTTTGGAAGTCAACGGTTTGTCGAGCTTCACATCGTAATCCTTTCCGCGGAACTTGAAGACGGATTTGCCTGCTTTCGCAATGCCCTTGGCGCAAACTTTAGCAAGAGCTGGAACGGCGGCTTGGACGGCGAGTCGTATGATCCATCCTGCATCACTCACGTTAGAAAACAGCTCAGGTCAAAGAATGGAGCAACTCACCAATAAAAGGGATAAAGGTAAGCGGTGTCAAGGCGGCCGTGATGGCAATTCTGCAAAAGGCCGTGGCAGCGACCTCCAAGGCTAACGCTTCGGCTGCTTCCAAAGCGGCCTCTTTGGCCTTGTCCTTGACCTCATCTTCGACCTGCTCTTTAGTAATAGGGGGCTTGAAGCCAGCACAACAGTAACTCTGTGTTCCTCCAGAGCATGTCTGATCCTCGGTGCTCGAGTGGTGATTGGTGTTCTGCGTGATCTCCGTTTCATCTTTGGCACAGCCACCGGTGCAGCTCAGGCCAAGACCACGGTAGCCGCGCCATCGGCACTTGCCCATATTAGTGCCTTTGGCGCAGCACAGCCGACGGAACTGTCCTTTGCCACAACGGTCCATTGTTGAAAGCGTCCCGGGTTGGCCGTTCGTTTGCGAAGCCTCGTATTCTCCTGACGCGCATTTCTCGCCGCATGGCGTCGTGTAGCAAACGCCCTGGGCGGCTTCGTCTTGGATGAAAATCTCGGCTGCTGCAATGTCGTCTTCGGTCCATTCGTCGGGGTAATTCAGGCTTTTGTCGTTCTGGTCGACTTGATCGATAGCCCAAACCATGAGTCCATCTGCAAACGCATCGTTAGTATGGAAGTTGCACATATCTTTGTGACTTCTTACGCAAGCACCGCGAGTTCGCGAATTCTGCCTTCTGCCTAAAAGTATCTTGGTCGTCGTACGAAACCCATTGATCATTGTCCCATTGTATCCCTGTCGCGATGGTTAGCGAACTGTTTGTGGAGCTTTTTCTGCTCTTTCCTCGTACATTTGACTCCGGCTTTCAGATCATGGACCGGCTTGAGGTTCTTCTCCTTGATGAGCTCTTGGATCTCTTGTAGAGTAAGAATGCCGGAAGCCTTCGAACACCGACCCTCTTTGGCACCTCCAGAGAACGTGCATGAGCCGTCTGGCTTGTTGCAGCTCGGATCGGTGAGGGTAAACGAGCGGCCGTAATCTGTCCAACAAGTCAGATGATGTAGACGCAGAATATGAGCAAAAGCAAACTTACAGCCTTTTCCCAAGACAACTTTGTTTGGTTTGACCCCCGCGCGCCAGAGGAGGTCCAAGGCCATGTTGATCTCAGTGATGTTGGTGTGAGTTGCGAGTTTGGGCCCAGTGTATTTCGATGCGGCGTCCCAGACACCGTGAAGGTCATATGACATCACGTTGAGCCAATCAACAGACTCTTGATGCTTGGACACGTCGAAGTGTTGCAGGTACCAATAGGATGCCGGCAGCGTTATGGTATAGCCGTACTTTCCACGAAAGGCATCCTTGATGTCTTTCGACAGCAGAACGAAGTTGGCTGAATCGCCGGCCTTGCCTCCGCGATCATCTTCCAAATGTCAGTACTGGGTGAAAGTGACGGAGATGCAAATCTTGGCTCACCAGCGGTAGGGTACTCCCAGTCCAAGTCAGCTCCATCGAATCCGTATGTGTCCATAAACTTGATGAGCTTGTTGATGAAGGTCTTGCGGTTTGCTGCTGTACTGGCCATGTTGCTGAAAGCCTGTTGGTATGGGCCGGCTAGATTACTAAAGTCAGTAAATACTAGTGGGTTCGAACAAGTATCACTTACGATCGTTGAAGGACCATCCACCCACACTGACCCAAGTTTGAAGTCCAGGCTTCTTCTCTTTCAACTTGGTGAAGCGACTCAGCAGCTTGCCCGCGTTCTTGTCCATTGGGACAATGTCGAAAGTGGTGGGATGGAAGAAGACAAAGGCAAAGTTGAGATGCGTAAAACCATCAAGATTGAGGTCTTCGGGAGACACCTTGCTGCATGCCCTGGTGTTGGCCCACGACTCGTAGTAGCCAATGTTTATGCCCTCGACGCTACCACCATCTTTGCTGCAAGATGGTCGCTTGACGTCGCCGCAGCCTCCAAAGTTTTTCTGGCATCCTTTGTCGCAAAACAAGGATGTCGAGCCGCAGAATCTACATGCCAATGTCAGCTGCGATAAAGGAACTGTCGAAGAAATTACACGTACCCAAACTCGGAGCAACAGACTCCGAGCGGACACTGCTGCTTGCCAGGCCTGCCGTACTGGCCACATTCTGCTTTGGCATCGCAGTTAGAGGAGCAGTTTCCAGCACCGCACTCCGAAGGAGAGTAGCCGCAGAGTCCGGAGACCTACCTTATGTCAATGTGTATCCTTGAGTCGATACCAGCTACTTACACTGCTGCAGCATGCACCATTCACGCATGGCGTTTGATCGTTGCAAGTACCGGTAGGAAGATCCAGAGCTTGAGCCGGGATTTCATTCCTCAAAATTCCGAACGCCGAATTGACGAGGAAGTACGATTGTTCCACCTCGCCGTCAAAGGTCTCGTTCTGGAATGAAGATCCATTCTGACCGCTCACAAGGCTACTTGTGAGCCAAAGGCCGATAACTAAGTTATGAAGAAGTGCAGACCGCATCTTGAGTGGCCAGGCGTGAAAGAGAGTTGTCGAGGGGTTTCTCACTGCTCACAAAGCATGGCGAAAGGCGGTAGGGAATGTGAATATGAGGAGAATGTGGCCCATATGGTCAGACGCTGGGTGTACCGATTATACCCGTCATATCTGCATTGATACTGTTCTTGCCAGAGCAGATCAACACTATCGATGTAGGGATTGGGCTTGCGCCACCGTCCGTGTCGCTCAGCACTAGAGTAGAGTCTGATAGATGGAAAGTAAGATCGAGGATCCTACAATTGAAGCTCCTTCCAAAAGAGGATAACCGACGGTATACTAATGCACGAGTTAACACCCAAGTGCTAGCGTGAGACAAGGTAGCATAGTGGGTGGCCTGACGGGAAGGCTGCGCGGAACATGGATCAGACCAAAATCGAGCGGAAGAGCCGTGCCAGCCTCGCCACGGGCGTAACCGCGCACCAGCCTGAATGCGCAACAGCCTGCGATTGGCTGCATGGAGACGCCAGAATGCGCGCGAGCGGGTTCCTGACGGCATATCCGCCAGCTATGCAAGGTACCGAAGGATGCCAAGAATCTGGCTGACCACCTTCCATATTCCTGCACGGCTGCTAAGTGATAACCTAGCCGAAGTGAAGATCAGAGGAACATTCAACTCCGACGGAGCGCTGGAAGCTAGTGGCTTACTGATATCGCCTTAATAATAATTTATCTCTGGCGTTTTGATGGCTTGGCTGGGGTATCCGCGGAGTCTGGTCATGCTGCCTCGACCGATCCCCAATCCAAGCATTCTTTCATCGCCGGATACTCCGCTCTAAAAAAGCGTTCCCATTGATCTTCTGCTGAGGTTGCATTTCTTTGCAGATAGGTCTCGAGGCCACAATGTCTTCTCGCAACTCTGTTCGCCGCGTGCTGATCAACGTGGGCTTGATGGCTTCGGCCTCAGCCTTCAATCTCTATCCTCTTGTTCCGGCAGAGACCATGTCGCAAATCTTAGGGATATCTTCCGGATGTGTATCCGCCTTGTATGTCGTCTCTTTCGAAGCATGCTTCATGGATATCAACTGATTCCTTTTAGAAACACCACGCTGCCATGCGATAACGACTTGATGCAATGGACGCACAAGGTCGACGAAGTGTACTGGCAATCAACCGATGTTACCACACTTTGCACCGCAAGCTGTATGTCCGATGCAGCAGACTGGCGGCAGAATGTCGCAACAGCTTGTGTTGACGACTATTACCGCTCGGGCGACCGATACGTGCCCGCCGAATCGCTAAGCGGTCGTATCTTGGAGGGACTCGATATGGCTTGTATGCGCTCATCGTCTAATGAGTGGTGCCTAGTCGAGTCCTACGAATGGACTGGCTCAGATGTGATCCAAATGGATTGCGAAGCAAACCCCAATGACCCATGGTGTCTCAATCGCGCCGACTTTGGCGCAAACCAGAGCCGAATGTCAACGTTATACGATGACGACTTGTTGTGCTCCGAGTGCTTTCTCAAGATGTTGCATGCCCGCGTAACATCGGATTACCTGCAAGACACAGAGTTTGGCGACTATCTCGTCGAACAGTTTCAAGATGTTCAAGACGTTTGCAAGACTACTGTTGGTGATCTCGTTACCAGGATTGGCCCAGCCTATGCGCGCGTGACGGATGAGCCCGAGATGGCACTCCCGTCAACTACCGTATCGACTACTAGTAGCGCGCCCACACCCACGTCGACAGTATGCAGAGGCCGCATGGTGGATCTACGACCCGATCGTGAAGAGGAGCTCAATTGTGATGAGATTGCGGAGAAGTACCAGATCGCCTCGCTGGAAGCGGCTGTTGCAACGAAGAATGAGTTCTGCGATGCGGATGGAGAGGTGTGCATACCTCTTGCTTGCACATTGTACCGAGTCTTGACCAACGACACGTGGTAAGTATCTCTGCTACACACTCTCTCGTATCAGCTGCTCACTACTGTGAATTAGTGAGTCAATTGCTCAAGGTCTTTCGAACACGACAAATGAAGTCACGCTCGCTCAGCTCGCAAGCTGGAACCCCAACATTATGGGTGCTTGTGACCACCTATTGGTTGGTCAGGCAATCTGCTTAACGTATGTCAGCCATGTAGTCTCCCATCCATTGAATAGAAGCTGACAAGTATACCTTTAGTCCTCCAGGCGGTGCTTGGATCAGTCCACCAGCCTCAGAAATCCCCGACGATGGCGAGGGACCAATTCGCGGCGGTCCAGGAAGTACGGCATCCCTTCCCATAATCGAAGACGGTGGAGAAATACCTGCCGATAGCATACAAGAGGGTATAGCATCCGATTGTACCCGCTGGATCATGGCCAATGACACCCAGGCCGCATGTTGGAAGCTTGCATACGATGCCAAGATCAGCGTACAGAGATTGTGGGAGCTGAATCCGGTGCTCGGTAGTGCTGGCGAGCGATGTGCTTCGCAAGTCTGGCTCGGCTACTACTATTGCGTTGCCACGAGTGGTGATGGCACGTCGCCATCACCTACATCTACGAAGCCTAGCACGAGCCCAAGTTCGACAGCGCCGATTACAAAGCCAACACAAACACAGTCGGGTATCGATCCTAATTGCAACAAGTTTGCGACAGGAGCAAGCTGTTGGGAGATTGCCAACAGTGCCGGAATTGAGCTGTCACAGCTCTACAAATGGAATACCGTGTTGGGTTCCAACGGAGAGAACTGCGCCACTCAGATTTGGGCCGGATATTACTACTGTGTTGGCACTGCCACCCCCACGACAAGCCAGCCAGCAACAAGCACGGTGGTTGCCCCGCTCCCTACACAGACTCAGGGAGGCTTCCCCGCACACTGTAAGAGATGGATGGTTACCAAGAGTGGTGATACCTGCTGGAGTATCGGTAACGACAACGGTGTTGCCCTTGAAGTGCTGTATGCCTTAAACCCGGTCCTGGGCTCTGACGGAGAGAACTGCGGAACTCAGATCTGGCCAGAGTATGCTTACTGTCTTGCTATATAACTTCGTACATGAGGCTGTTTGTTCGTCTCGAACGTTCGGAAGCGGTGGTAACGCGTGTGACCGACCCAGATAAGAAGATAGGAGAATGCGTAGTGATCTATCGTGAGACTTGTCACTTTGCTGTGCTGTCAGCGCTTCCATTCTTGGAACGCAAATCATACGCCTTGTCAACTGCTATAAAACGCCTTTGTGCATGTTTCCTCACGGCTTCTTCTTTCCGTTCCGCTTCTTTGCGTTTAGCGTCGAGACGTTCTTGTTCGAGAGCTTTGAGATACTCTGCCTTTCTGAAAGCTGAGGGCCAACCATACTCTTTCAGCAAGCGCTTGGGTAGCTGTTCATTTGCTTGATGAGTCTTCCGGTCACGTTCGCCGAGAGGATCGCACTCACCTTTGCATTGTTGTCTCGATGATCCACCATCTCGTTGTACCATGCATCGCTACCTCGCGTCAATGGTACAGGAACGGTGACCAAGGTCTCGATCTCGTTGTAGACCTTATCGAAGTACTGCTGAATTTCTCGAGGCTTTGCGCATCGCCGCCAAGGTTGGTCTTCTGGCGCACTACGGTCTACAACGAACGGTGTCATGGGCCAGATTATCCCTAGTGAAACCTGTCAATATCCGGTGATGCACGTTGTATGCGGCTCATACCTTCGTCCGTATCTATCATCCACACTGTCGCTTCGCGGCCCTGGCTCAACGGTATCATTCCTGCAGGTGCTTCCTCCTCGCATGGCATCATAAGACTGATAGCGTCCTTCTTGTGCGCATCTTTCAGCCAGCCATAATCGCGAAGGAAGTTGCATGCTTCCGTTACGATGTAGACCTCGTATTTAGAGTCACCCATATTCTTGCTCAGATAAGGCAAGTGACGCAAGAGATCAACGACTCTGTCCGACCGTTTCCACTCTTGCAATGTGTCAACAGCGAGCTGCTCATCACTCCAACCTTCAGGCGGCGGGCGGAGGATCGTGTCCGGGTCGAGGTAGGCCATGCGCACGAGCAAGTCATAGTGCCTCTCGATGCAACTGACGACTACATGGCGATCGTAAGGCATGGTGTGGATGATGGGGTTGTAGTGTAACGCTAGGCATAGCACCGTGGCTAGATCAGCTCTACCCGTGGTCCGGCCGATCGGCCAAAGTTGCCGCCGACGACCTCGGTCTGTTTGTCCTGTTTGCACCCGACGGCCTAACTTTATGCCCAGACAGCAACACTGAAACACGAGCAAGACATATGACAACATACGCCCAGCTCACTCCAACATAATCGCGTAATAACTAAAACACTTTCACGGAACCGTCACATCGCCGACATTCTCGAAACCGTCCCTTTCGCCGAAACCACCAGACCAGCGGTCAACGCCGCATACAAACGGACCTCACGAACGGGCGGACAAGACACAGGGAGAACAACATGGGCGGCTACTTATCGACATTTACAAAGCTGATATGGGCAAAGAAGGAGATACGGATATTGATTCTGGGGCTGGTATGAACACCTCAGCATGGCTGTATGGGGGGCATGGTGCTGATTACAAATGCAGGATAACGCTGGAAAGACGACGTTACTATACAGACTAAAGGTACGCGATATCCAAGGAGGAAAGAAAGGAGGCATGCGAATATGGAAACAATATGCATCCTGGGTCTGGACACGAGGTATACGGAGGCTAACAAGCCCTCCAGATTGGCGAGGTAGTCACAACGATACCAACAATAGGCTTCAACGTCGAATCCGTCACATACAAGAACCTTAACTTCAACGTCTGGGTAAGTTCACCTCCCACCTCCCCGTCCTTCAGAACCACCTACCTTCCCCCATCCACAACCACCATCTAACACCTGCCCAGGACCTCGGCGGCCAAACCTCCATCCGCCCCTACTGGCGCTGCTACTACGCCAACACCGCCGCCGTAATCTTCGTAATCGACAGCACAGACATCGAGCGCCTCACCACCGCTAGCGAAGAACTGCGCGCCATGCTCAACGAAGAAGAGCTCCGCGACGCCGCCCTCCTCGTCTTCGCAAACAAACAAGATCAACCGGGCGCAAAGGGCGCGGGCGAGATCAGCGAGGCGCTCAAGTTGGGGGAGCTCAAAGACCGGAATTGGAGTATTGTGGCTTGTAGTGCGGTGGATGGACGGGGTGTCCAGGAGGGTATGGATTGGCTGGTGGGGAATGTTGGGGAGCAGAGTTAGAGGAGGGGACGGAGGGGATATGAGGATATACGTGCGATGGGGATGAGGATGAGACGGGAGCGGGGACATATGACGCGGCACATACGCGTCAGAACGGATTATTATACCAGCATAATGGCGTCTCGGCGCTAGGGTTGTGAATACGGGGTGGGGAGTCAATGTCAGTAATTGCATGCGCGTTCTTGATGTCGATGGAAATGGAGATGCATTATATCGTGTGACGAAGCGTCTAATAAACCTCCCACGTCAGATCTCTACCTGGTCTCAGCCGCCCCTCAGTCCAATCCTTGCCAAAGACGTACGCGCTGCTGATCTCTTCTTCGTCGATGCCCAAGTGATCTTCGCCATCTCTTCCTTGAAACCAGCCCAACGCGTACGTCTTTCCACTCTTCTCTAGGTGTTTCGTCATCTCCCTTGAGTTCAGCTTCTCCGTGTCGATGAAGCTGAAGAGCATCTTGGACTGGTGGATGAAAGCGAGGACGGAGGCCATGGTGCCGATTTCTCTGGGCATGAACTTCTGACTGCGCCTCGCGTAGGTGAGAAGAGCGATGCCGATGAGATAGATCAGAATGAGCATGGTGAGCGTTAAGCTCGACCAGAAACTGCGAAAGGTTTGCTCCGTGTTATAACGATCAGATGCATCGTCGTTGCTGCCGTCGTGGTCGTCGTCAGACTTTTGGCCGCCGAATCCAGGCATAAATTTGTTGCCATCGACGCTGATTGAGGTCACGCAGACCGTTAGGATCTCCGCAAAGATGGATCCAAAGGCGACGAGCATGACAAGGTAATGCCCATTGAAGAAAGCTTCGAAGGGCAACCAAAGAGGATTCGTACCAGCATAGTCGAGTGTAAGAGTCTTGGCTGGGGCGTGTCGCAGAGAAAGGATGTAGAAAGGTTGAAGCATGCGAACGTCGCTATTCATGGTGTTCCAGAGTATGCGGATGACAGTTGCTAGGCCCGTCATCATCCAGGGTACCTTCTGTGTGGCTCTACTCATCGCCTTGACGAATGTGAAGACTGGCACCGCAACGGTGAACAGGATGAGAAAGCCGATGAAAGGCACACCCGCCCAAAGACGAAGCATGAGCGGCCTGGGATCGGAGCCGTGCTCGGGAATCTTTTCCTTGCTCTTCGTTATATATTCTCCTTGCCAGAGTGAGCTTTTGTGCAAGATGTATCTTCGTTGGCGAAGTTGCTTGTGTATCTGAGGCAAAGAAGCCTGGTCGAGCCCCTTGAAGTCCGTCAGAATATGGCTTTTCGTAGCCATAGCTGCGATACCTGCAATGCCCTTGGGGTCCGACTGCAGGCCGCTCTTCCTCTGCATTGCGTACATCAGCGCTCCTCCACAGGCTGCAACTATCAAAAGGCACGCCGAGAGCGCTCGGGACCAGGCCGGTTCGACTCTCACAGCCTTCCAGCCATTAAGTTTACGGTCCTTTTCTGGTGGCCACATAGTCATAGAGGCACTCTGCAAGACAGGTACAAGGCTACTAGCGACCAATGTACCCAGCGAGCTGTAAATGACGGCGTACTGTCTGTGACGCAGTGCTCTTAGCGGTACTAAGAAGCTCAAAAAGGTGAGATAGTCCATGTTAAGCGATTCTCCCGCAGTTGCGCCTGTCTTCTTGGATAGCTGGTAGAAGGGCTCCAAACGTTTCACCTCGAAATCCGACATTTGCCAAAGGACGCCGTAAAAGACTGAAATGATGATGGGCGCGTACTGCCAGGTGAAATATTGCGTGACAGTCAAGTCGCCAACTTTCACGAAATGCCACAACCCGCCTTTCTGAGGATCTGCTTCAACATCGCGTAAGGAAATTTGGCATAGGTATTCTTGAACGCCAGCGAGTACAAGTGCAAGAACTGTGAGCATAAGGATCCACCACGAGCTCATAGTAAGGGGTCGCCATGCAGGCATCTGGGGATCTGCATGCGTGTTAGATCCTAACTCTCGACACATGTAGGGGAAACTTGCCTTCAGGAAAGAAGTAGCTAGTCTGTGCACCACTGCTGATGAGACCGGCCTCGGCGGTCAAGTTTCTCATAGAATCGAAGTCGCGAGCAACTCCTGTGAATTCGCTGATATCGACTGGAACATCTGCTGCAACAGCAACGACCTTGCCGGTATTTTCAGCCTCGTCTTGCGCTTTTTTGGCCTGCTCGTCTACTACATCCGCTCTTGTCAGAATTCGTCGGTGGCCTGGAAAGAAGCCTGGTACTGGTCCCGCTGGGGTATGCTCAAACGGAACATGGAGCACAGAAGTCATGCCAGCTCCGAGTTGCGCTTCAAGACGCTCAAATTCTGCGGCGTGACTAGCTTCATCCATGTCTCTGTCACGCTCTTGCCCTTCGTGTATGTCCTGTGTCCGCGATTGCGCCTCGAGTGTTTTCAGCGGCAGACCGCCTAGCGAGCTCAGATCATATCCGACTGCTTCATCCCCCTCGTCGACTCCTACAAGGCGTCTTCTGTCGGGTTGTGATTCCTCATCATCCAGTCGGTTGTAACGTCCCCCATGAGAGGCTCCCCTGTGCAACGATGCGATTCGGTCGAGGACCCGTTTGGTCCTACTGTCGCTCTTGCCCAACGACGGTGATGCGCGATCTTGAGTAAACACGCTCGCGACAGGGTTGTATGACGTTTCTTGGGCAAACGAGGGCAGCGCTGGAGCGCGTGGTATGCGATACGAGGGTTCTGCGGCCGGTAGCAGAGGCGAAGGAAACGACCGACGTCTTGATGCAGGGGTGCTGCTAGGAGATGCGATTGAGGCGACTGAGGACGGTCGGGACGGAAAGAGTTGCGACAGCCTGTCGGAGGCGCCAGACGTGTTCTTGCGACGCAGCGGTGGCCGAGCGTGGATGGGTGGGGCATCGCCAGTTGTTGGAGAGCCAACGCGCAAAGCAGAAGGAACGGTGATATCGGAGGTCCTCCTACTGTTTGGGGAGCCAACCTGGAGGGGTGATGGTACTCCTTCGACGGATGGTGACCGCATTCTGTTTCGTGTATGCCCGGCTTGCGCTCACGTTCTTGTACTGTACAATGATGTTTGCAATGTGTAGCGACCGTAGGACGAAAGCGAACGAAGTGAAAGGAAAGAGAGAAGCCACAAAAAAAGGCGGGAAATCACCAAAGCGTACAAGATGTTGCACGAGGCTGGCGGTACCTTGCAGCATATGCGTTGCACCGGTCAGCCTGGTTCCATCACACCAATATGCGCCCACGGATGCTTTCGCCCTACTCAGGCAGGAAAAGCTGCTCTAGTGCGGCACACCATGTGCAGTCCAGGCGAAGCGAACGGCTGTCGTGGAATCAAGCTCGCCGTGCCTTTGATTTGCGCTGGCGTCGCGGGGCTTGACGAGCCGCTCAGCCCTGTGCTGATCGACCCGCGTAACTCCAGATTGAAGGCCGATAGCCTATTCGATATCAGAAAGACGGTGTTGCGCAAAGGCGTCAGTAGCGACGAAGGAGCTCAGAATGTTGAGCGTAACAATAGAGAATGCATTGTTTTACAGGCTGCAGCAATGCCATCACAACAATCGACCGGTCAGGATTTGGGGGCCAGCTGAGCTAAAAATACGGCGCTGTGCCGCTGCGGTCGAATGGCGTTCGAGTCTCGCCTGGCATTGCCGTCTGAGGCATGCCGGTGGCTTGCGATGGGGGCCAAAAACATCGGCATATCGTGTTGGGCACAACGACGGTCGCACGACGAAATACAGATTCGACGATGTTGGTGTTGAGCAGTTGGAGAAAGAAGGTCCGGATTCGGAGCTTGAGGAAGCTCCTCTGATCGGCCCCGCTAGGGACGTCACGTGGACGTCCTTCCGGGCAGGCGCTGACGGTAACAGCGAACCCTCTGAGGCGACAACAACACCAGATCACCTAGCGAGACTGCGCGACGACACTACCGACTGTGCGCAATACATGTACAACGGCTGTTAATTCTTTGAGGATCGTCAGGGACCGAATGGTCGCACCACCGTTTGCACCACAGACACGCGCACGCACCTGGCGACACGTGGTGTTGTACACGGACGACGTTCTCAAAGGGATCAGAATATGCTCAATTTGCTAGCCAAGGTGACTATCGTACGTTGCAGGCTTTACTTCGGTCGTCTGCACAAATGGCTCATCTTACTCAACATTACCTTTTGCGCATCTGCAGCATCGGTCCCTTCCTGCCGGCCACGAAGATGTCGTAAATCTGGTATTGATCCTCTGTCTGTCGCCCAGGCTTCCCATTTCGGTTGCCTCCACCAAGTCTGTTCTCTGGATCAGGCCGAACCTCGTACATCCAGAGTGTCTTGGCAATGACAAGTCGCATCTCCAGCCAGGCAAGGTTCTTTCCAACGCAGCCCCTGGTTCCATAGGAGAAGGCACAGAAACCGTTCTCCGCCAATGCCACACTCTCAGCCGAGGATCCTTCTTTTCCAGTCTCGTCTACGATCCAGCGCTCAGGGTGGAACATGAAGGGTTCTGGGAAGACGTTTTCGTTGTAGCTGAGACAGTAAAGACCGGTGCTGACGTGGAGGCCAGCGGGGAAGTAGTGATCACCGACAGTTGTTCCGCCAGGGAGTACCTCACGGCTGGGCTCTGCTGCGACTGGTGGTGTCATGCGCATGGCTTCATTAAGAAACGCAGTGAGGTATTTGCAGGACATGATCTTGGTACCCGACTTGATCTCGTCATAGCTTGAGAAGACCGACTTGACCTCTTGAGCGATCTTGGCCTGTACCTCCGGTCGACGAGCCAGGTAGAAAAAGGCTGCAGACATTACGACGGATGTCGTATCGGAACCAGCAATAGTCAGCAACTCACACTCAGCGAAGAGTTCGTGCTCGCTGTAGCCACGCTTGCCAGTTTCGGGGTCGACAGCCTTGAAGAGCCAGTGAAAGAAGTCCTTCCGGACCTCACCCTCAGGCTTGGGATTCTTCTCCAATTCGTGTTCGACCGCGGACCGTTTCTCAAGGCATCCTTCAACGAAGTCCTGCCACTTCTTGACTACTGGCGGTGAGGCAACCTCCAGAAGCTTGTCGAGCCCACGAGGCTTCATCCATACCCAAGCGTTGGCTAACGGGCCGAATGCAATCTTTGGAATGTCAGCATGATCGATCAATGATCTGATGCAGGGGACTAACTGGATGGAGAATTTCCATGAATTGAACCATGACTTCGGGGATGTGGCGGAGATCGCTTCCAGGCTCCTTCATGTCAAAGTTCTTACCGAAGCACAAGTCACCAAGGATGTCGAAAACAAGCCAGTTCATCCAATCACACATGTTGATAGAGGCCGTCCACTCGCCAGCCTTTGGCGCTTGTTGACCAATCAGCTCTAGCCAACGGTCGATGTTCGCGTGAAGGAAGACCTCAGCATCTCGCAGTGCCGCTTCTGAGAAAGCGTAGTTCAGCACGCGACGCTTACGCGAGTGCACCTCAACACTGGTGGTGCTCCATGTGTTGATAGTGTGGACATTGCGTGGCCACACTTCGTAGTAAAGGCCTTTCTTCACATTTCCCTTTGGTCCAAAGATTTTCTTGAAAGCAGCAGGCGTGTTGAGCACGACACTGTCTGGACGATACCGGAACTCGGGTCCTACCAATCGTTAACAACTCACTGACTCTGGGGATGAAATCAGGCCACCATACCATACTTCTCCTGCAGACTATACAGCCAAACGTGTCGGTCGCCAGTACGAGTGTGCCACCATGACGGGAACACAGTCAAGCGGGCCCAGAACGGCCCCGGGAACGCCGCGAGTGGATGAAAGTAGAGGCGATAGATTCCAGTAACGATTACGTAGGTCGATACTAACAGAGCTGACAACACGAGAAGCCCTGGGTATGACCCATTGCCTTGGATATCTGTAATTGCCATCATGCACCTGGCTTATTCAGAGAAGAAGGAAAGTTTGACAGGAATCCGAAAGCGAAATGCAGAGCGTGGGGCCTCTTTTACGCCTTTCCATATGCTCGCCGACTTTGCAAATCGCACATGGTTGAACCTGTCGTGCTCCGCGGCATCTTCACCCTCACGGCTCCCAAATTAGTGCCCGTTGATTGGTCTCCTAAAACCTTAGGTCGCTAACTAGCAGCCGGGGCACCTGTCAGAAACGACTCTGAAATGTGGAGTTTTGCTTCTCGGCTGGGCTAAGAAAGGACCGATGGCGAGCCGCACCTCCCGCACCAGCTATCCATAACACATACTTTGACTATCAAACAGCTACTGATGCTTACTGAGCGACGCCACTATCACGATACATCACTAACTTTTTGTTTTACTGGTTGTAATAAGCCCGCATATCGCGTTCCTCGCATCCACGTGGAAGATGGCGCATGTGCCGGCCGCCCTCGAATAGGTGGGTCTCTCGCTAAGCCCCATGGGACTTTCACTGCATTTACCCTGGTCAGGTTTGAGACAATAACTCGATGGGCCTCGACAGGGTCTATACGGCTTCTCGACTCGTTGTTGCACTACTAAAACTACCAAGACGACGGCGTGAGTCCCTCTCGCTCCCACGGCACAGCATAGCGTGTGAGGGTCCTTCCGCTTCCGCGACCCATGCCGTTGCATGCAAGGCGTATGATTGGCAAACGGTGATTGCCCTCCAACGAGAGCTTAGCACGTTTTGGTTCCTACGCCGCCACAAAGCTTGCACACACGTTTGCGGCTTGCGCCCCTACCAGATGCCTTGCAATTCGTCATAGTAGGATTCCGGCAATGCATGACATCCACAGGAACGAACGCCACAAAGCAGACGCAGTGCGTGTTCATCCGAGGAGCCGCAAGGTGTCTGATATCTTCATCGCTTATGTCCGCCATCGATTGGTTCGTAATCCATTGCCGAAGCCTCATTTCTGACTCGCAACGGACGGCCAAGCTAAACCGTTCACGGCCAAAATGACGGCCAGGCACATGCGCTCAACACCAGGAAGTTGGATGATCTGCTCGAGTCGGCCATTTAGAA